ATGCCAGCAAATGCGATCGCTAAGGTTAATCTTTATGCATTCGTCGATTTTTCAAAAAGATTTACTCGTTGATCATTTCGTCGATCGCTTTGTTTGTCATTTTGCGATCGCTGTTCGTTTTTGACTGACTCGAGAGGTTTGACTCGAGATTAGTTATGAACCGTCTCTAGGCTCTCAAATAAATTTTTTGAATTTCAGGTCTGGAGCTTTGCGGTTCATCGAGTGTTTGATCCTCTCATGAGTTCGTGTGGTCTCTGCTGTGCGGGATTTGCAAATCGTAAATCCGAAATGCATGATTCTCCAACCGTACTTGCATAATTTATTTCACTCGTTCACTAATCTCATAGTGATTCTATCATGCAATTGAATTATTCAAAAAAACCCTGATCTAACAATCCACAAACGAAACGATTTTCTATTCATCAAATTTCGTTTTCGACACTCAATTGAATTCCTAATTCAACTTTTTATGTTTTTGTGCAGTCTGAAATTAAACTGCAATCGTTGTGTGATTAGTGACGCGTCACTGGTTCACTCTCGATTTGTATTATTTTTTTAAGATTTCGTTCATTAGATATCTCATCCCTCACTGAACACTCCACATCATTCAATTCATGCCATCCATCCATATATCATAATCGTTTGTCCCTTTCATTTTGAGTGCGGAACTATTAGTATTTGTCACGAGCAGTGTCATTACTTCTAGTAATAATGTGCTCCAGTACATTCCTATTGTTATTATTAACATCATAATTATCAATAAATATAAATTTATAGTCTGTAAGTGACGTAAATATGTCGCTCATCTTATAATGAGCGTCATAGTTACGTCAATTACAGACTATAAATTTATGTTTTTGTGCAGTCTGAAATTAAACTGCAACAATATATAGATCCAGTATCAGTGATCACCTTAATGTTTACAGTCGATTCAATGAAATTTCTCATCCCGAATAAATTATTTGCATACAAGCTGATAACCACCCAATTCCAGGACGTCTCCGAAAATCATAACTTATTGATAGTTGGTAGTATACAACTGGTATTCATACCAAATTTGAATTCAGTGAACTGAACGTTTTCATTGTTGAAAATAAAGTGCTCCCTTGCATGTTCACATAATGTACTATTGCGTGCTTGTTTCGATAACGACGCTGTTTCGAGTATATATGATGTTCGCTTTTGTTTTTGTTGTCACATACTGCTTTCTGCTTTAATTTTTTGTATTTTTATATTGAATTCATGACTGTCAACAATAAAATTTCTTATCAATTTCATTACGCTTCTTATCAAAAGCAGCGTCACACATTTTATTTCATCACTGAAATGTCGAAGTTTCACAGTGACCTAGAGGAGACGAATTGAATACAGATCAAAATTCAGTTTCAGTGGAATCATTAAATGAATGCTTGTGAACAAATATGATCACGATCACCTTGATGTGGTTGATTTGGTAGGCGAGAGTTATTCTTGAGGTTGCTTCATTTCAGTATCTTGGTTGATGGGCAATGGTTCCATATTGCAGTGAACGATTGTGCATGTGTTCGAGGTCAATTCTCATCAATTCGCATGCTCACAAGTTTATTTGACGGATCTAATTGGGCTGACTGTGACTAATGATTGATCGAACTCTTAATTTGATCGTTTTTTAACGATGAAGAATAAGTTCATGGTGGGTTGTTGACGAACATTCTCGTATAACCTTGCGATTATTTCTCGTGGTTACGCACCGAACGCGATTTAGCGTTTAGTTGAAACTCGGATCCACTGTTTTCATCTCATCACCTATGACAATTATTGAGAGTAATTTACCGGTTAAACATCAGATTGCATCGTAATCGCAGAGGGTACTGTAGTTATGACTTACCGAAACTATTTATGTGCTGAATGTCTCTTCTTTTAGATGTGCAATGTAGATATGTGGTATATCAATGTCATTTCAATTATGAGCTTTTATGACAATTAAATGTGTGCAGTACATTTGATTGCCTGTAATTTTTCATCAATGAACATAACTTATCCGCATTATAACGTTGATCACATGAACATCAGTGCAGGATGTATATTGCGTGTCATATACAAGTTTGACTTATGCCATACAATGTCAACATTATATCTAGCCAGCTTCCGTTTAAAAACTTATTAAGACAATGGTCACCGCGTCATATGTCGTCTGGGTCATCGGATTAAGTAGGCTTTCAAACAATTCGGAGTATGTCGCGCTTATGTTTGATGATCAGGCTTGAATAGGATCAAAAGTTATCAAAAGAGCTCCCACTGTGAGGTTGACAATGAGGGTATTTTTTTGAATCCATTTGAATGGTCTGTGCAAATTCAACAAAAGAGCTGAAGGATTGATTCCAAGGTAATATAAGCGTGGCTAAAGACTTATTGCCGGGCGAACATGTTGGGTGAAAGGTTCCGTTGGAACTTATCGCATTTTTATTTTTAGGAATTTTGTCGCAATAAAAGAACAACGGTGAACGTGTCTATTCATATTGATTATGCATTGTCTTAAGCATAATAATGTTGCGTTGGCATAGGAGCGAATCGACTGTTTTATTAGAAGATTGATTGATTGCGTGAGCTTGACGAGCATCATATTTGATGAATTGATAGGTGGAGTACTGTGGTTTATGAGTGCCGAAGATGCTGATGTCGGTCGTTCATGTAACATAGCATTGCGATGGTTTACACTTGATTAGGGAACGAATGAGTTTAGTAGCATGAATGAATTACTTAATGATGACGACGATTGATCAGCTCGGATCTGGTCGTCTTATCGTTTGGATTACAAATCCGCTCGATAATCGTCTTCAACACTTTCACATGAATCCCTCTCTCCCCGATTCTTCAGCATCACTTTTGCGATCTGAGTGTTCTTCATGAATGACGTCGCCAGCTCTCTTGTTTTGTTCTACAGTGGATGAATTAAGATTGATGGAGCACCACTCAGATAAGTAAGAAAACATCAAGAAACAAGTAATCCAGTTGCCAAGCAACCGCTGTGCTATCGGTAATCAACGAAGTGAATTTTGTGAAAGGAAACGAATACATTCATTATTAACTCTGAGTTATTTATATGCATAGTTGTGTGCGAAAAGTAAAGAGGGCTGCATGAACGGCAACAAGCGAATCACCGTTCGGATTCGTGTCAACTAAATACATCCTTTATGCACGTTGCGTGATTATGATCGCTTCAAAATGCCTATCGTCGAAGCTTCATGTAAGACACAAGTGAATGTTTCAAACGACACGACTCTTTAAATTTCGATACTGAATTGATGAGTGTTATTTACATTGCAGTGTTATTTCATGCATAGTGCTTTTAGTTTTGCGGATATTACTACTGTTATTATTGCTAATCATCAGTGACAATTCAGAAATGTAGACGGAAGGAACATTAATTGTAATGAGTAATTATCTGTAATTTATTGTGTCTAGGTGACCTTCAGATCGATGAAATCTATGCGTGTTGGGCGCCATTGAAATGTGTTGGTAATTTTTATTATTAAAATTGATCAATTGCAT